GGTGCCAGGGGGCATTGTCTAAGCCGGACGATTTGTTTAATTATGAGATGGTTTTATCAGGAAGAGGAATCGCGCTTAGAAAATAGTAATTTTTAAAAAAATGTTCCCCCGATGCTATTTGTAGTCTTTTCCGTTTCGCTTCGTCCGTTTTTATTTGCCGATGAGACCGTGCCCATTGAAAACGAGAGTGCCCCACTGGAGAAAACAACATGGAACTGCGCAAAATGCGCTCTGTTTATTCACATTTCAAATTCAAATGTTTTCATTTTTTGAACGCTTAACACATTGCGTAATTGTATTTATACAGCAGTGGCACGTGCGAGGAAAGTAATTAAAAGTCACGGCCAAGGCAATGAAGTTTTCACATACACGCCTTGCGAATGTCAATCATTACAAAATTCACGACACAATTGCATCACTATGCATCTCAAAAATATCATGCTATTATTAATAAATTTGACCAGTTCTTTTGGTTCTGAAAGTCAACAAACATCACTTTTCAAAAAAATTACTAATTCAATTGCTTTTCTTTATATTCACCAAAGCCGGGTATCGTTTCGTTACAACCTTATCTCATTAGGAATGAATTAACCTTCAAAATCGTTTTTCTTATCAACTATTTGCAAGTTTTGTTGGCATTCTGTTCGTTGTTTTTCAATAATTTTGATTGGGGAGCGTCGGTGGCCGTAACTGTTTAGGCGCTGACACGGCGCTCATCACTGTAAGGTAAAGGTCCCGGGTTCGAATCCAGCGGCCCTGCATTCGAACCCGACATACATACAAATGGGCTTTTTTTTCAAAAATACCGGCACCCTGAGGGTTCATATGACCTCTGCTGTAGCGAACCCTCGTAAAAAAAATAAATAAATAAAAATAATAATAATTTTGATTGCACTTTATGAACTTGGTTCGCCCTTTCTCGCTGTTTTTAGCCAGATCGAACCTCAAAGCGACTACTCGTAAAATAGAAAAGTTATTAAACACTATCAAACTGTCAGGCAAAATCTTAGTTTAACTTTTATGAATGGGACATATTTGATGAGATAAGGCAAAATTTGTTGTATTGCAATTCTTTACTTACAGATGATTATAACTGGATTTAATAACAAAGATATTAAACGCTAACAACTGTCCGAAAAAAATCTTAGTTTAACTTTTATGAATGGGACATATTTGATGAGATAAGGCAAAATTTGTTCTATTGCAATTCTTTACTTATAGATGATTACAACTGGATGTATATATTTGAAATATTTATCTATGATTTTGCTGTTTTCTGTTTTATTATTACTCTTCCCCGACAAGGATAAACCATGTATGTGCCAATTTTGCTTTTTACTGCTTTAAACAACCGCTAATTTTTACCCTAAAAGTCGATCAAAATTCACTTTTTAAAAAAATTGTAATTTAGACGCTTTTCTTTGTATTTACCTACAGCTGTGTGACGCTGCGTTACAACTTTGTCTCTTTAGAAAACTATTAACCTTCTTTTTTTCTTTTCGATAATTCGCCAATTTTGTTGGCCATTCGGCGAGTTGTTTTTCAGTGATTTATAATGTACTTTATCATCCTGGTGCCCTTTCTTGCTGTTTTTTTAGCCAGATCCAACCAACAGGCGTTTGCTCATAAAATAAACTAGATAATAAAGCGATCAAACTGACAATTTTTTTTTACTTTTAGGAATAGACCAGTATTTTAGTAAAAATTATCTCCAATATAAAAATATATCAGCCTTCAATATTATAAGTTTTTCTTCAAAGATCGAAAATTCGACGAATGAACTGAGTGTTTATTTTCCAATTGGCTTCATACCTAATTTTTTTATTAAAAAAACTATCCCGTCGATAGTTGAACATAGAGACCATAAATTATATATATATTTACCAATTTATTATAAACATAAATACGGCATAAACGACTTTAATATAATTAATCGTCTTAAGGTTATAAGAAATCTTTGGAAAGTTTCTCAACCGTTCAAAAAACGTTAGTATCTGTCATGCCAGGCCTCTAACATTTTCTGTGCATACAAACCTAAGTTTTTGCTCTTCAGAAGTTCCTTGGCGAGAGAAAAACTAACGCCCTTCTCCTCGGTAACTGTAAAACCCAATTTTGGATGATCTAAGTTGCGCTAAAGATTCTTCTGCCTGCTTACAACCTAATCCAGAAAATACATAGAGATATTTATCTACTTTTAACTAAACAAATAAGAAAAAAAACCATCTTATAAATATAATGTAACAAAAGTAACAATCGACCATTTTTGTTACACATCTTATAAAAATAATAATTTACATAATATATGCAATCAATAAAGATTATGACTACTTTAAAATATTTATGTCAACAATCATTATACAAAACTCATTATGCTTTAATGCAACAGCATAATTACTTCAGTGTAGATTTCTCCCTAAAGTTTAAGTTAACTAACGCATAAGATTGTCAATTTTACAAACTTCCGACATTTCCTTGTCAACAAACTAACAACGACAGTGTGTTCGGAAATATCCTTTCTCTCTCATTCTTTTATAGTTGTTTCAATTTTTTTATTGACTTGACTAGCGCGTCATCCGACACCGATAGGTCTTTCCTGTCCGGACCAGATGAAAATGACCGTCAGAGGATCTAAATTTGGGTAAAGACTGCGCAATGGGTTACAGTTGCATAACGGTCATACGGTCGTTATACATAGTTGTTGTTTTTTTTAATGTAAAAGCGTGCCGAACCGCCTTTGGGCTCTAACCGGTTTGCTATGTTATTCAGAAAATTCTGAAAATATCTATTTAAAAAAAGTACAGACAGAAAAATGAATGGTCGACTAACTGTAAGGAATTGTTGTAGGCAAATTCTGTAAACACTGGACTTTTTTTAAAGAAATTTATCTGTTTGGTACATAAGTAAAACTAACAGACACACAGAGGGAGAGAGAGAGAGAGAGAGAGAGAGAGAGAGAGACAGACAGACAGACAGACAGACACAAAAATATTTTGTCTGCGTTATGATTAATTATGCTTAAAAGACAATGCCTTCAACTCAAGTAGTAAATCTTGTGGAAGGCAGGCGGTATTGGAGTTTCTTGTTTTTATTTTAGTGCTTTTCCTGTATAAATGCATTTCCAAAAAGAGCAAATGAAGATTTACTACTACTATCTAATGAGTAAAAGTGAGTCCTATCTACTTACTAAAAATTAAAGCTCTGGGCTGCTAAGTACTAGGTAGGTGAATAAGTAAAATTAAAAATTTACCCAAAAATCGTTTATTATTAAACATATCAATATTATTACACCATAAAACTAAAAATAATTCATTCTTTTTGTTTTGTTTATTAATTATCAATTTCGGTATTAAAAAAACCGAAAGATTGAAGACGAACCGAGGTTATCACCCCGTTTATCTATTAACAGGCCATCGCGATATGTCGTTAATCAATTGTCGCCGATGAAAATAATTGATTTCTAACATGCTGTCGCGGCGATAACGGCCAATTTGATGGGGGTTCGAGTGGTTGTGCAATAGTAAACACGGTAGAGAAAACAATAACAAAAAGGAAAACACCGAGTACGGAAATTGTCAAATTGCCAGGCCGTGGAATAGGGAAGGTCAACTTCATAAGGGAATTATTCGTGAACTTTTCTCCGTAGAAACGGCGACAATATCTTTTGGTTAAGGATCGAAAATTGCGTAGTTTGACTTGGTAAATTATTAGCAGTTAAAAAACAAACGAAAATTTACACAGCACTGTTTATTCTTGCAGGGGACAATTAACATTTAAAACAAAACGAAAAAAAAAACAGAATTGTAAATTAATGTTTTAATTAAAATAAACGCAATTATCTTAATAATGGTGGCGTCAGCCGCATCGGTTTAGGTGTTGACACGGCGCTCATCACTGTAAGGTAAAGGTCCCGGGTTCAAATCAAGCAGCCCTGTATTTGAACCTGTCATACTTCCAAATGGTTACAAATGTTTACAAATGTTATTTTTTCCAAAACACCGACACCCGGAAGGTTGATATAACCTCGTATTTAAAATACTCTAGGGAGGGGGGTACGATATCCTGATAGAAAAGAAATAAAAAATTAAATATATTAATATTTAATGTATTTTTATTAATTTTAGTTAGACTTAATCTCACGTGTAATTCAGTATTTGTCTCCTCTATTTGTATCTGTCTGCATCTGTTCTCTCTCTCTCTCTCCCTCCCTCTCCCTCTCCCTCTCCCTCTCCCTCTCTCTCTCTCTCTCTCTCTCTCTCTCNATATATATATATATATTTTATCTAATTCTCTCCTTGCCATAACTTTTATTTATTCAATGTTTATTAACTTATCTTTCTCTCTCTACCGCAAACATGCAAACACGTACTGTTCGGTTGGTTATTTTCCCTCTCTCTATTTTCTCTCCCTCTATCCATCTATCACCTCTCTTTTTTTAATCTAATTCTCTCCTGCCCACTAATTTTCTGACATACTTTTATTTAATCAATGTCCATTACTCTCCCTTTTTCTCATTCTATGCAAGCATACAAGCCCTCTCACGATACAAATTCACGCTAATAAATGCAATCTCGTGTCATTTAGTTAGTTTCAAGTCGTAATAATTATTTATTCGAAACCCATTTTTAAAGCGAATGACAAAATAGATTTGCGTTACAAGATGGAAACTATACTTGGAGATAAAATCGAATATTTATGCCATTTGAATTTTAAATGAAACAGTGTCACATACGGCATAAATTCAGGATAAAACATAGTAAACATTCATACCATTTTGAACCAGTGGCCCTGACTTCTTATCTCTTTTTCTGTGTGTATTTATAAGTTTCTCTCTCTCACTCTCTCTCTCTCACTCTCNCTCTCTCTCTCTCTCTCTCTCTCTCTCTCTCTCTCTCTCTCTCTCTCTCTCTCTCTCTCTCTCTCTCCCCTCCTTCCAATCTTTATTGTGTTGGTTTTTTACTATTTAAACTAATAAATTTTATGTTTTAACAATATTAACGTTGTTTGTAAATTATGTGACCATTGTATTTAATTATGAAAATTGAGGCTAAAATTTTATTTTGGTTTTATTACCCTAAATTCTGTATCATTTTTGTTTGGCCTTAAACATTGTTTCTTTTGAAAACCTTTAGACCTTTTATGAGATGTAAGCTCATAAAATACCAAATCATTGTTGATATAACATAATCCAATTCGATAAGAGTTTCTTACCCAAGCACCAATTTTATATTTTGATGGCAGCCTAATAACAGATATTCCTCAAGGATTTTATTCCGTTGAAAGCCTGCAAAGAAAGGACTCACGACGAGCCATTTCTCAAGAAAAGGGGTTTTCATATGTTTGAACAACTGCTAATCTGTTGAATGGACGGCCGGATCGGATAGATGTTCTTGTTTACCATTGAATTTACGCGGGCGCCGTCGGCACTTAAAATTCTACTTGATTATTGTTCGTGTTGGTGGAAAAGTTCTTCGAACCCATCTCCTTATCTCTGTATCTATTTTCCAATTTAATTACGATTTAAAAAGATACCGATCTCTATATGCATTTTTTTCGTGTGAGGTGCAGTGCATTCTCTAACCTTGGTTGAAAATTAAAAATATATATTATTGACTGAGGTATATTGAAAATCACGATAATGATGAGAAGAACTGTTAGATAGCCAAGTTTTTGAAGTTTTGTAAAGTTGTGATTTGTTAAATTAGTTATTCATTTTGATAAATTTTTAAATTGCTAACTTGGTAGCGATGATCGCGTTTCCGCAGTAATTCTAGTCTTTTGGCTTTTCATTTTCATCTCTCATGATATATAATAATTTTATCCATATTTTTGTAAATTATGGTTAATGTACAAGTGTCTAAAAACTCTTTTAAGAATTTATAACCTGCAAAGTTCTTTTAATGAAACTGTAAGTCTGGAGGAGGCTAAGCCTTTCTTTTGTGGACTTATTATCAATCACGAAAATAAAAGCCTAGTTTTTCTTTTTCCTAGCACCACTTAATTAATAAAAATTCTTTATACATAAGTTCTATTTAATATCGTTTTCAATGAATGCCAATTTTTACTTATTCGGTATAAATTAAAACATTGACGTACTTTAATGTAGAATTATATCCGGTTTTTAATTGAAATTGAAATTGCCTTGGCTGAGTCAATTTGTTGTGTATCGGCGTAACCTGGCAGTAAAATCCTGCAAAAAGCTGATTCGTCATTATTACCCAATCGATTCATGCTAATGTGCATTTCAGTAATGCCTCAGGCGATCATTTTCTCTGGCTTTTAAACGTATTTATTATTAAAATAATAACAACCATAAAGTAAAATTTGATGAAATTAGGAAGCCTACACAAATGGCAAGTTCTTCTCGTCCAAATCTATTAAAAACTTGCTCGTTCGAGCTTCATTTCAGGGAATATTTTTGGGTTTTTACAAAGTTAATTTCACCCAATTTTCTCATGTTCATCCCAGTAAGCGGGGGTGGCCTCAATTTTCATGGAAAGGTAAGGAACAAAATTGTTTTTAAATTATCATTAAAGCGTTTGTTTGACTTATTAAGGTCTATTTATTTTTTTATTATTATTTATTTTTTCAAATCTAGTTTTTAATATATAATTTTATATTCAATTTACTTTAACAATCTACAATGACTAACATTTATTTTATTTTTTTTTTTTGTAAATGATGGTTCTACACACTGATTTGTTTGTAGTATATGATCCGGATTTCAAGCATTAAACGCTGATAGTAGTAGAATCATTATTTTCAAAAATTGAATGTACATACTCACCCCACCTTCATCATTTCTATGATTAACAATTTTACTAGCATTTATGTGGTTATAGACAAAAAAGCTTCAGTCTTTGTTTTATATAATATGTTTATCTTTCATCATTTAAAAATTTATTTATAATTGAATTAGGTTTTTAACCAATTATTTGTTTTAAAAAATTTCCATCGACGTCTCGATCTCGTGGATTTTTGTAGGGACGAACTGCTGCTGTGACGTGCTGACTTGACTTGTGAGCACTTGAAAAGTTTAGTCCTTTTCTTTCAGATTGTTCTCAAGATTAGGTAGAAATATGAGAAAACTTTATATGGAAAATACACAGCACAGCTTGTTGAAGGATGTAATTTTTTCCCCTATTTTTCCCCATTGTCGGATAGCGCTGCATTAAAATCACGTGCGCCATAAATGTCGATTAGCTGATAATCCTCCTCTTCCGAATTTCAATCCAAACAAATACAAATTTAATTATTTATAAAATTGTAAATAACAGATTATTTGGAGATCGTGAGTTGCAGTCTGGTGTGACGTAGGTTTTAGAAAAACATTTTATTTATCATGCCAATGTTTCGATCTTCATTGAGATCATCTTCAGGGCTCAAAGTGTTTGTGTTCACTGAACATTCAAAAAAAGGCTCAAAGTGTTTTTGTTCACTGAACATTCAAAAAAAGGGCTCAAAGTGTTTGTGTCTGAAGATGATCTCAATAAAGATCGAAACGTTAGTATGATAAAGAAAATGTTTTTCTAAAACCTACGTCACACCAGACCGCACCTCACGATCTCCATATAATCAGAGAAAAATAGATTCAAAATAAGACAGAAAATCTTCTGGGCGTACATTTTAAATTGATTTTCCATATATTTTCCTCTTTCAGTCAAATCTATTTAATCTGACTAGTTTTCGTGGTCCGCTTGACCAATTAATATCTTTCAATTAATTAAGGCTTTTAATTCAGATAAAAAGTCAGTGTCACGAGCGGGATTCGAACCCACAACCTTCGGCTAGATACGCCTCTGCTCTACCAGCTGAGCTGAAGTCACGTTAGCTCAAGCGGTAAAGTAGCGTCGTACCTAGCCGAAGGTCGTGGGTTCGAATCCCGCTCGTGACATTGACTTTTTTATCTCAACTAAAAACCTTAATTAATTAAGCACGAGTTTTAAACGTTTTTGTGTTGATGTTGGATCATCGATTATCCTTGAACATTCTCGCTGGTTTTGTCTTTTGTCTTTCAATATTACTTGTTTCAGACAACATGTCGATTTAATTAACTTGATCCAGCAACAGACGTGAAGCGATATGCGGCAATTGATACAGAACGTTTTCCAATAATGCAAAAAAAATCTATCGACCTATGGCAACGTTCATATCAATGTAGTCACAACAAGGATTATGCTGTTTTGAATTGCACTTGATTTATCACAACTTGTTTCACTTTTCCTGTAAATTTCAATGTTAACCGCTATACTAAAGGTTGTTATTTCGCGTTTGGCCATTTCCCGTTTTTCTTCCTTGTCCAATATGCAGTCTCCGTTCGTTTGAGAACAAAGCTCTCCTTGGCATATCCCGGATATATTATTGTGCGTTGTTATTTTAAGGAGACAAAATGGAAAGGCAGTCAAACCTGACAATTTATATCATTTTACTCTCTTTTCGTTTTAGATTTTTAGTTTAAACAATGCTTACATTCTCACAGAATCGAATAGTTCACAAAATTGACGTGATTGATCGTTCGTCTTACAATAATTAAATTGAAATTGACAAAGTCAAGCATAAAAAGATTTTAAAAAAATGTATGTTGCCTATATTTTGGACTGAGTTCTTAGGTTCTGGAGAGTTTTTGCAAATAATAATTGAATACCTTTGTTCAACTTGAACTTGATACTACTTTAAAATTTTGTGTTTCATTTACATGTATCGCTTCAATTAAAAACATTTATCAAACTGAAGTGGTCAATATTTACTTTTTCTGTCTTCTACTTTAGTAATTATCAAATAAATCTATTTATACTCAGTGGAGCCTGCATGTCAATCTACTAGACTCATCATCCTGGAAGAAGAAAAAATACAAACGTTTTATCAAAAATTAGAATTTATTTGCAATCTTACAGTGAGAATCTTAAGTGGTTCAATTTATATCATAGTATGGTGACCATTATTGATCGTTAGTCGATGATTATTTGGAGATCGTGAGATGCAGTCTGGTGTGACTTACGTTTAAGAAAATCATTTTCTTCATCATGACAACGTTTCAATCATTATTGAGATCATCTTCAGGGCTCAAAGTGTTTGTTTTTTGCGTAATTGTGCCATTCTTGTGTGTCGTGTTGAGAGTGCCCGACTATATCATAGTATTAACAATGTTATCCATACAATATATCCATCATATGTATGTACTTTTGAAATCATTTTTAACTATGTGCAGATTACACTTGTAGATTGAATATTTTTGCTCTAATAGACATGTTTAAATAAGATTTTTAATAAAAAATGTATGTTTTCTTTTCCAGTTGAGGGCGCCCCTTGGGATGTTCTTGAACAATGGATAACGAACAACACCACCAGGAGTTGGTGAAATGTGTCGTCGTTGGCGATACAGCAGTCGGCAAGACGAGGCTGATTTGTGCCAGGGCGTGCAACACTCAGCTAACGCTTTCTCAAGCTTTGACAACACATGTGCCAACCGTCTGGGCTATAGATCAGTATAGGATCTATAAAGATGTAAGCCTTCCTCTGGTATAATTTAATCTCTGTATAATAATTCATGGATCGTTAGGTACTGGAAAGATCATGTGAGGTAGTCGATGGAGTCAATGTCTCCCTGAGACTCTGGGACACGTTTGGTGATCATGAGAAAGACAGGAGATTTGCATACGGAAGGTAGTCTTTTTAAGTTTATGTTTTTAACTGTCAATACTTATCCGTAAATGAATTCCAGATCAGATGTAGTACTCCTGTGCTTCTCCTTGGCCTCACCGAATTCTCTCAAGAACTGCAAAGCCATGTGGTACCCTGAAATTAGAAAATTCTGCCCCCACACACCTGTGATCTTAGTCGGCTGTAAGAATGATCTCAGGTTTATGTACAGAGACAAGGCGTATCTAGATTCTTTTAGAGAGAGAAGTCCCTTCCTCAGGTAAAAATTCTATACATCCTAAACACTTTTTGCTTTTATTTAATTTTTTAATGAAACAGGGCAATAAGAAAATCAGATATAGTGATGCCTGATCAAGCTAGGAGTGTAGCAAGAGAATTAGGCGTTACATACTACGAAACTAGTGTCCTCACTTATTACGGAGTAAATGAAGTTTTTGAAAATGCTATCAGATCCGCCCTAATAGCAAGGCGGCAGCAGAGGTTTTGGATGACTAATCTCAAAAAAGTCCAAAGGCCACTCTTACAGGTAAATCAATCAGGATAAAATTTGATAGAACAACAAAAAAGTTAATATATCACTTTATGTTTAGGTTCCATTCTGTCCGCCAAAACCAAAAGCAAGACCAGTACAAGTTTGTCCATCCACTTTTGATGACTCGATGCGCTGGCTGCTAAACAACCTGCCACATTCTGATGTTGTCTTTGTAGCAGGGTCTGTCTATCTTCCTGCACATAGGTACCAATCAACTGAGCATAAATAATTTGAAATTTATTTACTAAAAACTATTCGTGTCAGGTTTATGCTTGCTGCCGCTTCGCCATCATTGCTAAGGTTGTTATGTACAGATCTCACTGGTGAACTGAACACAAGAAGCGCCAGTGAATCAAGCATGGTATGAACATTTTATTTTTTTCAATCATTTAATTATACAATTCTAACACTTATAAACATCAGCAATAAAAAATCTTAATTAATAATTTATATGCTCATTTATGATTATGATGGTTGTAAACACTTTGACATGAGCATATTTCAGGTATCTTCTTTTGGCGAAGCAACTTCTGGTGATTTCAATGAAGACACAGAGACCCTTATCCGAGTAGAAAAGCCATCCACCAGGTACGTCGTTTTTATCTCTTTCTCTCTAAGCATTGTTTACATCCCTGTTATTTCAGAAGTGGGGTGTGGGACCAATTGAAGAGACGGTCTAGCTGTCAAGTGCTGACGAGTGCCTGCAACAACAGCCCAGGGCAGAGGGTTTGCGCCAGCAGAGAGCTAAACCTCCCAGCATTTACTAGCATTAGGGTGCAACAGGTACATCAGATCAAACCGGTACTTCTATTCTGTCAAAAAGTTGTTGTCATGTAGCCTGCATATAGACGAGAAGAAGAGTCTTGGTTTGCTGAGATTTTTTTAGAGGTTTAGGACATTAGATTGCTCGCAGGTCTTATTTTCTTTCAGCTGTATAGACTTGTTAACGTATTTCAAATAATAGTCTCATCAAGCAATTGGTTTGTTTAATACTTTGCATGGAATCAAATATAGAATCATTAGTAGTTTCATTCTTAGCTAATTTGTATTGCTTTTTTTAGAGAGAGTTTAGATTGTTTATCTGCAAAATGCAAAACTTAAATCTGGGATAAAAATAAAGTGATTAAGCTCTAAAATCATTTAAAAGTATTAATGTTGTACGATAGTAAATACTAGTGACAACATCAGTTTAGGGCTTATTTTTATTTTGTGTTTAAAAATATAATTAATAATTTTTAAAAAATTTTTTTGGTAATGAACACTAAGGTAGAGGATTTGGACCAACAAGGAAAGCTCACTTCATCTGTTCAGACTGTGATAACGCTGAGTAAACTTGTAACTGCTCAGGCCATGCAGCAATGCCTTCTCTTCTTGTACACAGGAACAATAGACTCCAAGTTCACCCAACTCCAGGTATATTCATTAAAAACAAAAACTCAATAACCCATGAACTCAATGCCTAAAATAATACCTAAATACCTAAAAGGTTCGCTAACAGTAAAGTTTGTTCACAGAATGCCTCTGTTGGACTTTTACAGGTGCATGATGAGGCCTATTTTACCTATAAAATTTTCTAAGAAATATTTCACGTTTGGTTTTTATCTGCAGGAAATACGGCAGGCTGCGGAGTTTATTCAGATCCCGGACTTGTTGCTTTACATCTCCAATCTGATGATGCACTCCGAGTTCCTCAACCCGGAGTTGAAAAAGCGACACAAAAATGTAAGTCAAAGTTAATTATAGTTAATCATGGAGCTGAAATAATATCACAATTTGTTGAAAATAACAGACGGTTCGGCTGAGGCTAAGTCGTTTCATCTTAAATCAAGGTTTATTTGCTGATGTCATGTTCCAACTCGATGATGGATGCTTGCCAGCTCACAAACCCCTTCTAATAGCTAGATGTGACATGATGAGGGCAATGTTCTCAGGAGATTTTCGTGAAGGCTCAGCCAAAGTTGTAAGTTAATTTTACCATGCAGTACTGAATTTTCTATAACATTCAATTATTCTTGGTTTGAATAATTTAATGAGCAGATCAAACTGCTAATACAAAAAAATTAATTTTTCACCAGTCCAACGATTTTTTATGCGTAATTTTTAATTGTAATGATTTTTATAGCTTTGTAATAATTAATATAATACAGTGAATAATAATTAGCTTTAGAATATACACTGATTGACAAAATTAATGCACCACCCTTTTTAATGTATTCAGTAAAAGTGTTTGTAAAAATGGTAGTAAAACAAGACATTTGAAAAAAATTTTTATTATCTAATTCTAAAAAAAATTGAGTAAAACACAAAAAATTCCAAACCAGAAATTTAAAAAAACTTTTTTGTTCCTTTCAATACAGAGTATTTCCACCATGCATACATCCGTTATATGTCGTCTATACATTCTTTGGAAAAGATTTCTGATAAAATCGAGAGGAATTCTTTCCCATTCATCAAGAACGGCCGTTTCCACCATTTCTAGGATGTTAGGTCCTGAATTTCGCCATTGTACTCATGCTTAAGTTGGTTCGATTGGGTTCTACCAATTCGGTGTGGGCGTCCAAGGAAATGAACCCCAGAACATCAATGATCCACTGAGGACTGCCACCTGAGGAACCATACAACAAGGGGCGTACCTTTCTCCTGAGCATCCTTTGCTGAGAATCCTCATCTGAAGAAGAATACCTCACCTCTGCTGTAAAAAGTCCTCAATCTTACAATGTCCAATTCACATGTTCCCATGCGAATTGAAGCCTGCACATTTTCTGAGCTGTGTTAAGACGAAAAGGTCCACGTGCAGGGGGTCGATTTCTGAGAGTATTCCCTTATCAGATTTTTTAATTTCATATCATTTCCTGTAATATAGACCTTGTCCAATTTTTGACTTATCAATAAATATGTCCCTAATTTGCCGGATTTGTAAATTTGCAAATGTGCAGGAACTGTTACGTAACCCTTTCTCTGGTGTCTGGGCAAGGTTTCGGAGCTTGTGGACGGCTGGTACTGGCCCAACCCTAACCAAGTACAGAAATGTGTTTAGGATATTTAAATGAAAGAGGGAGCATACACTTACTCTAGGTCTTTGTAGTGAAGAGAAATATTTTCAATGTGATACCTGAGCTTCCAGGGATAAGAATGATTATAAAATTTCAAAAAAGTAGAGTGGGAGACTAGATTTTTTAAAGCCTTTGTGCCATTATTAGTTTGAACATTTGCTTAAGTTAAGTCATTTACGAAGTAAAATAGCTTACAGATAGTTGACCTTTTATAATAATGTTTCTATTATAATAATTAGCTCTAAATTAATTTTGTACCATGTTTAAACTTGCCTAATTTTGCCTTTCAGATATCATTCCCAGGAGTGAAATGTGACAGTTTCCGCATACTGTTGTACTTTCTGTACTGCGACTACTTGGAACCATTGGCTCCAGCAAGGTGCATTGACTTGCTTGAACTTGCAAACCGTCTTTGCCTGCCTAGGCTCATTCATTTGGTAGAATTGAGTGTCGTCTCGGAATTGACGTTGTTGAGTACGGAAAATGAAGAGAGTGACGTTGTCGAGCTTTGTCTGAAACTTCTTGAGCCTTGCAAGGTAATTTTAATATGCTGTCTTGCCATCTTTTACTCTAAGAAGAGCTATCATGAATCTAAGAAAATATAGACTTCTTTAAAATAAAACAAACTGGGTTAAACAGAAACACAGACTAATACCGTGATCATTATCATAAATAATAATAATAATAGGCCATAATCAAAATAAACTACTCCAATCTGTATAAATATATGTTCACTCTCACTCACTCATCTTTTTTTATTTTCCCAACTCCTTCCTATTTATTTTCTTAACAGTTGCCTGCATCCAGTGCTCAAGCAACTACTTAAATTTCCTGAAAGCCTATATTTACTTTCTTCTTTTATCTAACTTCTATCAAATCAGATTTTAATTTATTTTGTCTCACTATTATATTTTTATGGATCCTCCTTTTAGGAATAAATTTTTGTGTTTAGATTTTTGTCGTAGAACCTTTTTTCAGTGTTAGGCCAAAAAATGAACGGTCTTGTTTTTCTGTTTTGTGTACTTATCTTTTTAGTGAGCAATTTGATAACCTGTTCCTCAATTTAAATGCAACTATAAATGTAAACCATGCTCTAGAGTTTTCTTTTCTTTTATTTTATATCTAGAAATCATATCCTATTATAAAGAAATTTGAACATTTATTGACCTTTAAATTCCACCATTGATAAAATGTTTTGTAATTTTATTTTGTTTGATGGTTTTGTTTTTGAAACTATTCAATCACTGTAGGTTCATACAAGTTTCTTTAAGATACATTTCCTCTTCTCAATAAAAACTTGTTGCTTTTCATTTAAGCGAATATTTCATAACTTAGTGAATTTTTCAGGTACCCTTTGTTTTCATTGCTTTTACTATTTTCAATTGTTTATTTAGCTTCACAATGCAGACCAATTGGCCGACTGGTGCATGAGCCACTTGTGCATCAATTACAACAAACTTTGCAAGATGTCACCAAAGCTGTTGAAAAGCCTTCACCCTGAAAATCAGGAATACCTCATGGAAAACAGGTGGCCGCCCATATGGTGAGTACCCGGCTTAACAACACCAGTCCCAGAATTTACCAAATTTATTCGCAGGTATCTAAAGGACTTTGACTACTATGACAAATGTTTTTCGGAGAGGGAAAGACAGGAGAGGATGGTGTTCAAGAGAGGCTCAGCTTCAGCAAGCACAGAGGAAAACAGCGGAAGCAGTTGCCTTTGCTTTGGAGGACGATCCCAGGGGGTCGTCGCTTCGTGACCCTGGCTGCTCCCCTCGGTCATAGTATTGTCTGCCCTCTCTCTCGTTCTCTCGGCTCTGCTAGTAGTTCTATTTATATAAATGCTTCCAAGTTCCTTATTAAATTACAAGTTCACATTAAAGTTTATTTCTATTTTTTAAATGTTTCTAATGTAAGCATTTTTGTATTTTTTCTATAATGGGGCCAAAGGAAAAGAAGATTGAATATTTTTAGAAGAATTAATCTTCTTTAACCAAGTATTCTATAATATATTATAATATAATTATTAAGAAGTAGGCCCTTTTTCTTATAAAAAGCTAGTTAGATGCCTTTACACTGTTTAATTTCTTACATAGAATTCTAAAGCTAAAATTTCAAACTATTTAAAAACAAACTCACTTAGCCACTACATTCCTCGACAAATCTTCATCATTTTGATTTTTCAAAAGAAGTGTGAACTTGTATCAGATGTAAATGTCATACGTCTAAAACAACTCTTCACTACTATTTAGAGCTGATTTTTTAAGCAGACATTACTATTGAAAATCGAAAATGGGAATTGTCAAATTTTTGTGTTCAACCATGAACTGTTAGGTATAGCTGTATGTCTAAACCTATTGATATCACTGAAACTGCTGTTTAGGGATATATCTATATAAGCTTATAACTTTATGACTGGTCAAATTAAAACAATTTTCCAGTGGGTTCATTTGTAAATATTAGATTAGACAACTGGCCTGATTCTAGTTTACAATCTATTTTATCAGCAATAAATGAGAATTAGTTTCGTTTTTAAATAGTGTCAAAACATTTTTTTATTATTATTAATTTTTTGTACTATGTATTTGACTTGCACACTGTCTTTTGCTCACCTATGCCTTTCTTTTCTAAACAATATGTCATATTACATATATACATATATAACATTAAAAAAAAGAAAAAAAATTACCTTGTAGAATATAAAAAATCTAGTCCTGTCACCTGTCAATTCTAAACATGCAGGGATCCGTTTGCCTCTTAGATGCTTACAATTAACATAACAAATAGCAGTTTTATAAAAAAAAAAAATTAAAAAATACAAATGAGTCAATTTGCTGAAAATTATTATTTCTTGCTATTAATTTACTTTTATTTTTTATGTAGGCTGTCCCTTCAATGTGTACAATTTTAAAATTAAATTTCAACAATTAAACTTTCTCTGTGATATGACTTTTATCGCTAAAATCTGTGATTCACTGACGTCCAAACATACCCTTCACCCTGAAACTTACAGTGAACTTTGCCAGAAACATTTTTTTGTCAAACAGTTTAATTTATATAAAAACTAAAGTTATTGTCAACTGTTTATAATTGAAATTGTTTTAACTAATTCAATACATTTAGAACAATTATTATGCTGCTTTGACATTTATGAAATAATTGTGAATAGAAATTTAAATAATTAAATAAAACTTTGTTTGAAAATATTGATAAAAACTAAATAATCGTTTCATGGCAAATGTTCAATATTGTTAAAATTACTTTGTTTACAGTTCAAAAATGGAAATTTTTGTTTTAATTTTAAACCCAGTAGTTTTTTGTTTGTTTTTTAAATAAAATAAGACATTGTAAATCCTTCATAAATATCTCATTAATTATTGTTATCTTGTTTCATCTATTTTTGTGCTGAAAATGTAAAACTTTTTCAACTTACCACCAACTAAAATTGAATAAAAAAACCAATATTAAGAGACAAATTATTTAAAACTGCTATAAATCAATTGATTGCTGTGTACTTATACGAAGCACTCTTTATAAACATAAACTGAAATAAATTATAAACATAAAGGTTCAATCGATTTAAAATGTTATAAGGCAAAAGAAGTTAAGCTTTACTTTATATAATTATATTGTAGTAAAATTTATAAGACTATTTATTAAAATTATTATTATAAGCCTTACAAACTATAGCAATTTGATCAATAGACATCTTCAATTAAATTTTAAATTGGCCTGTGTTTTCTATACTCCACCGTGTGATCTTTGCGAAATTTTGTAAATTTATTAGTCTTAGCTTCCAGATTTAGGCTTAAAACCGATAAAAATGTGCAAATGACCCCTTTGCATCAAAATAAGAACAACTCCTCAAACAATAGATAAAATAACATTGTTTATAAAAGAAACAACCAAAGCTTCATTTTAGCCTTTTATACCGTGTATTTTCTAGTATTTAAAAATGAAATATTGATATTGCCTTTCTGAAATGACAAACGTTTTGCCCAATTTCATCTTCTCTGGCGCGCTATATATTTTTTTAAAATCGATTTATCAAAATGAAGAAATTGTATAAAATTTAGTTGAAAAGGGGTTTTTATTAATTATGCTCTCCCCTTGTTAGATGTATATACATATATATTTTTTAAGCTTTCTGTATGTTAAAGTAATATTCTCCTTATTCAACTATTAATGTTTGATGTAAAATGTCCCTGCTCTATTTTTTTTTCTTCTCTTATTTAGACTAGATTTTTTAATCTGTTCTTATTGGTTTGATGGCTGCAACAACATATTACTAAAACTATAATTTTCCATTATTAAATATTATTAATTTGTTAGATCATATTATTACATTGTCTATCAATGTAAATTAATTATTTATTTACTTTGATTAAAGGGTTAGGACAAACCTGACAAATCAGCCATTTTTAATGAGTTTTTTTTTTTTCAGACATACTAGTTCATAAAACCAAACATCCACATTTTAGTGGTATGCTAATATTAAAAGTTTTTAAATATAAACTCATTTTCATTCTATAATTTTCATAATAATTTGTAGACTTTTTTATTGTTAAAATGTAATAATTACTGCCAAATTTTTACTACATTTACATACGTGGGAGAATCCCTCAAATTTTTTCACCCTTAACCATTGACAATCTTTAATGAAACTATTTGTAATTTGTACGGAGGAGGAGAGATCTAGCTTAGATTTGCTGCATTTTGTGTAGGCTTAGAATAATTTCAAAAAGAAAAATATATATATTCCGGGCACTTTTTTATTTTCTAATTCATTCGTAAATCGCAGACATCTCAGTTCGATTGTCCAACTCTAGTTTCATTTCTCGTTTTTTTATACTATATGGATTACCTTCACCCAAGAAAACAAATAAAATTCTAATGTGTACAATTGGTCGAGCAGTACTGTAAGATATGTTTAGATAGAAGTAAGACGTTGATAATTAAGGGAAACAAACAATTATAGGCACATTTTATACGAATATGTTTACTAAATGTATCTTAGTGTTAGTATCTTATTTAGCCAGTCAAAACATTTTGTTTAATATACTGTTATGTATGCATTATAATTTATCTCAACAGGGTTGAATATTAAGTTTTTATATAATTAACTAATTGTAACAATTTTGTACAACACCCTTTTTGTAAATGCTATTGTTTTATTATGTGTTGACTCTTAATTGTTGTAGTACTAACTAATTTGTTGTAGGCTAAGAATTGAATCTGACGGAGACGTAGAACAAAAATGAATGCAAATTTTGTAAAAATTATTTCAATCCAGGAAGAAAATCGAAAACAAGCAACATAATTATCTGTAGATAACATACAACATTGTGATATTTAGATTGTGTCATAGAAAGATAGGTCTATTGAGCAGGAAGTATAAATTAATTTTAATAGAGAGAACAGAAGAAAATATTTTACATAGCCATATCTTAATTTAAAGAGTAATATAAAATAATTTTTCATTGTCGCTGTTTTAATTTTTTATAAATTTAAAACAAAAAACAGTGCACAATTAAATCTATATAATAAGTATATATGATATATGTCAAGACTTATTTTGTATTGATATAAATTAAGAATCACTAATTTGGAAATTTTATTTATAACCAATCCCTTTTACAAAGTCCTTTTTATGACATCCAAACCTACACTTTATCTTTAAGTTGTCATTTTGAAATTATATAAACTGCTTTAAAATTCAATATTTTAATTAATTGGATTATTTTAAGATCATCACAAGTGATTTCAGGTTATCATTAAGCAATAGAGGCGATTATCCAGCAATTAAACCTGAATTATTGAATTAACAATAAATATGTAAATTTAAATTTCATAGCCCATGTTTAGTACAAGGATATTTATGTTTTGCAACCCAGCACATATACACTGATTTGTCAGTATAAGCCATTTACACATGGGACACAGTGCATAAGTCACAAACTGTTGAGTTCATTTGGTAATTAGTAATAACATTAATTATTAAATCAATAGACTTTTGTACAACTGTATTGACTTTTTTAAAAATAAAAATGTAACATGCGTAGCACAAAGCCATTCAGTAATGATGAAGATTTGGGAAATGGCAATAAATATAAAAGCTGCCATCCTGCAAAGTTGGAGTTTTTGAGGACACAGATATATTTATATAATTAATTAATTGTTATTTAAAGTTAGGTTTTTATCAAGTTATGAAGGATAATATTAATTTTACCAGTTTCAATAATGTTCTATGTATTTGTGTTTATTATTTGTTTTACTGTAACCACAATTGACAAGGCCCTGAGGTATAGAGAAGCCAAGCAAGGATAAACAAAAGAGAGAGTGGCTACCATTGTACCATAAATTATCGTAACTTAGCTGGAGAAAGAAAAAGAAATTAGTAGAATTAAAATGCGAAAAAGATAAGAAAAGAAATGTAAAGGTAAAGAAAATAGGGCTGGTGATGACCAAAATAGTTTGCCGGCCCTAAAATTAAAAACTAAACAATAATGATAATGTTGGCACATTTTCAATTTCTTGGTAAGTGGATCTGAGTATTTATACAACATTTAGTTTTAAAACACAATTCATTGTTTTGAACAGTTTAATCAGAAATTTTGACATATCGACATTTACTGAATGGCACAAATGGTCGATGGAGTCGGCTGGTACGTGGGATAAACCTGATTTTGGCTCGGAGCGATGATTTCTGCTTGAACGACAGTCTGATGCGCTTCCTGTTCTACTCTGGTCAATTTGAGGCCAAGCTTTTCTGCACAGATTTTCTGAATCGTAAGTCTCACCTGTTGGAATGGAAATATTTGCCTTTAATGATCAATAACTATATTTAACGGGGTCGTAACAGTTTTCTACTTTGGTGCCGAAAAAGACAAGTAACTTAAAATACACAACAGTTGTATAGAAAACAACAATTTTAATGCTTTGAACAAAATCAGGTGTAATTTTTTCAATAATTGATTAAAAATATAACAAACGCACATTTTCCCCAGTCCGAGCTGATACAGTGTGACTCGTGAATCCATGCTCATTTGCGAATCTCACTTGTTTTTCCACACTCACAGCCCTTTGGTGCTCCATATCACCTGAAAGAGAATTTGACTGAAAATTCAACTTATTTTTCTATAACTTTTAAACTCACAGTACATTTATTTGCTATAATCGCAATATTGGGGCTTGTTTCAAAGTAGATTTTCCTAATCCCATCCAACCACTCAGATAATTTCTTAAAGCTAGCGGCATTTGTAATGTCAAAAACTATTAGTATTATCTGAAAACCGAGTGAAATTATAACTAATGACTCATTATAATTTAACTATATACTTGTCAAACCTACGTTGGCAGCGTATAAATAGTTTTCCATCATTGTCGACCCGAGAGCTTGGCCCCCAATGTCCCATATCACAAGGGTAACATTTTTCCCATTTCTTATTTCATGCCTCTGAAGAATGAAGTCAACGCCTAAAGTTGGATAATACTGTCTCGAAAATTCGTTGTGGCAAAATCTTGATAAAATACAGCTCTGAAATTAGTAAATAGTTATCAGATAATTTTATGAAATAATCTCATTTAAAAAATAAAAAATAACAAATCAGTTGAAACTTTTAAAAAGCATTGTTTAACAAGTTTAAGGATATAGATACTGATATTTTTAGTTTATAAAGTTGTTAAAAATTAATTCTAAGCCTTTAAAGAAGTGAAACTTTGACGATTATTTAATAATATTTACTACACTTACAATTATGTAGCCAATAAAATGCAGGACTAGGCAAAAACAATCACTCTGGAAAAATATTTTCCTTGTATATCTACAAAATCTATGACTAGAAAATAAAATCGACCACAAATTCACTGTGAAGGTGGACTTAAAATAACTAATACTTTTTATGCTTCAGTTTAGCTGTCAAATTATGTTTGGATAATCTGTGAGTCATTGTTCTGTAGAAGGTAGTTTATTGGATGTGAATAATATTCTACTTTCTACCCTGTATATAAAGTTATGGCCCTCTAACAAACTGAAAATGCCTATACACTATTTAATCAAAGCTAGATATTTTATAGAAGAACCTTTCTACATTTAAGATAAACATAAATTAAGTATATTTTATGAGTTAAACTGTCTAATTATATTTGGAAAATTTGCCTATCAATATTCTTCTGAAAGTTGCTGCATTCAAAATTTAGTTTTCAATGTTAGAAGTATCGACCACTTTTACACTCACGAAAACTCTGGATCAAGGTATGGCCTTGTAGAATAAAGCAAATTCAGTTGTTACTGCCAAGCTTTAGACCTATTTTAAGGTCATAATCACGGCAAAACAATCTTAAATAAATCTACATGTTGACATATTTAAGTTGTTTACAGGCGATCTCAAATTTCCTTGAAGACCTATACAGTCCTAAAATTGCCAAGGCCTGTAACCATATTGCCCACATAAAAACAATTTTTCTAATAATGTAATAAATAATACAAATTATTACAACAAATCTAAATTATCATAAGTGATGAATTATTTTTAAAGAAGATAAACAAATCATAAACAGCAGATTGAAAATATTTTAAAATTTATTTGCTAGCCGGCAGTGCTGCAGAATAAATTTTAGTTCAAACCTGTTAACTCTGGAATTTAATTAAAGCTATTTTCACTACAAATAATAATTAAGTTTATCTTAATTTTTAAGTTTATGTTGGATTATGTTACGTTGGATTATGTTGTTATTCAGTCTAAGCTCAATATTCTGCCAACAATAAAATAATTTATAATGGATTACTCTTACTGATTTTTTCCACATTTTCCCCCTGTATGTAAATAAAAATTATGTCCTCCAAAAATTTAATACAAAATCTCGTGAATAATAAAATCTTCGGGTAAGAAGAATTAAAATAATTTTGATATTTATTTTAAAGGTACAAATAAGGCTTTAAGCGCACTTACATGTACATATATGAGAAATAAATTTAATTTTATCAAATAGTAAAATAGAGTAATACCGACCCCTGGAGGCTTGATACTGCTGTTGCGATCCCTCGTAAAAAATAAATAAATAAAATATAAAACAAAAATAAAAAATGAATAAAATAACAAAACAATAGTGCCAATAATATATTATTTTAAAATATGATGAAACAGCAGTGCGAAAGAAAAGCGGAAAGAGAAAAATGTAAAAGAAAACAGGAAAAAGAAAAAGGAAGAGGGAAGGCAAGGAAATGATTCATGTCCTTTTTAAAACTTCAGATGCCATGGAGCTGAAACAAGCCAGCGAGAAAGCAGAACATCCCTTCCTCGAATAAAAAATATGCTAAAAAAGTTGAAAGAGTTGATAGATATTGAGGTTATTTATTTGATTTAATATAAGTTATAAGTGCTTAGAATGTTAAGAAGGTTGCTGAAGACAATGTAGGAAGAAATATGATCTCTTGGTTTAAAATCATAGGAGTATTTAATGCGGGAATGATAAGCAATTTGAAGGAGATGAGGAGATTGAGAGTCAAAGGAAAAATAGCTCTACAGTAAGAGAATAAAAAAATTATTAGGGGTTTAATAAGCAGAACTCTAGTTTTTTGTTGAGTGAAAAAGCTGAGGCGTCGGAGAGAATGGAGGTCTTCTTAAAATAATAGAGCTCACATGGTCATGCCATGTAAGCTTGGAGTTAAAATTAACGGCGAGATTTTTAACTTTAGGACAAAAATTAATAGGTTGATATTATAAGGAGATTGACAGTCTGTTTTAATGGGTTCATAGGCCTGGGAATGTTAGGGTTTAAAACAATGCCGTTATTTCTTGACCATTGGTTGTGAGAATAAACCATTGTAAGTCATGGTTAAGCAGAGAGATAGCTTCAGAGAAGTTGCTTTTAGGACAGTGAATGTAAAGCTGTCATCAGCAAAACAATGAAATTGGGAGAAATTAATAACTAATGCAAAATTATTTAGAAATATGGAAAAGAGTAAAGGTCCAAGAATAGAGCCTTGGGCTTCAGCAGCTAAAATTGAGAGAGAATGTTGGAAGTTATGTAGAATGAGAGTATTGGAATGTAAGTATAAAGTCATCATTTATATCAGACATCATTTAAATCGGGAGAGTGGAAAGCATTTTTTATATTTTTTGGAAAATTTTCCCGCGAGAAGGCCGCTTTACGAAGTTCATCAAGGAGTTTTTGCCGCGACTCACCTTTCCCGTCGACGGTTCGCCGAGCACGACCATTTTCAGCTGCTTTTCGAAGTGGTCGTCGTCTGTCGGCATGCTCTCCATTTCCTGCTGGCCAGAGGCATACGAAACCAAAGAGAAAAATTCAGCTCGGTCTCGTGTTTTGAAAGCGTCGCCTTGGGAACTTACTGTTGCAGGGGCGTTACCGTGGTGTTGGGCAGGCGGAAAAGTCAAAAGTTGGCTAATACTGTAAATAGGGCCAAAGCCAGCTGGCTGCTATTTTTGGGTTGGATTAGTTTTATTTTTAAACCATTAACAAAAAACGGTTATTATATTGTGAAGCATGGTGGCGAGGGCTGTTAGGTGACCTGGTCTTCCTAGTCTGACAATTCTCGCAGGTTTTGTTTGTTTCGCCATATTCAGTAGTCTGTGTACAATGTTATATATCGTGTCCATTTATGCGTTAATTGAGAAGGGGTGAAATGGTGTGTCTGCATTTTTTTTTAATTCTAACGGCTTCTTTGATTTATTGTTCGATATATGTAGTTTTTCGTATTTAATCTAAAATGTACCAGAAAATGGAGAGAGAAAAGAGAGAGTGAGAAAAATAGGTAAAAAGGGGTAGGAAAGAGGTAAAATTGAGAATTAGAGAAGTATATAATAAATATAATGAGATAGTGTGAGTGTATTGCCAAAAATCAGATAATACATTGTCTTCCCAGGCAGAAAGGTGGTTGTCATAAACAAACAATAAATCTTACTTTACATTAAAGAGTCATGTACACTTTTTTAGTGTTTTTAAAAGTTTTCTAAAAAATTAAGGGGGTTAAAATGTGTCTAAAATTGATCTCAAAATAAAATTGTCAATTGTCTAAATTTCGGCTCTTTTGCATGCAAGTTGTTCGTCCGGCAATTTTGGACATACAGGGTGAGAGAGGGAATGAAAGGGAGAGAGGGAGTTATTTTACCCAAAAATTTTGATAAAATTATTGTATTATTATTATTTTTGATAGTTTACAGATGTCAAAGGTTCTGTTAATAAGTTATTAGCAATTAATTATCAAAAAAAAAATTTTGTGTAAAACTTCATTGGCCTCTTGTAAGACTTTTCTCTTTACCAGATCAATAGACTCTTCTAAAAATAAAAGGCGAATTTGGACAAATCAAAGCAATCCCTTTACTCAGCAAAATGAAAGACTGAAAATAGAACGTTGTCAAAAATGATCATAAATATAGTTTTATATTGATCGGGGATATTAAATTTTTACATTAACAATTTAAACTAAAAAGTATATTTCAATCAGTCCGCAGGTCTTGGTGAACCAGGTTTTACTGAAATTTCTCGCCCTCTCAAACCGCCTTTATTATATATTGATTTGATCTATCGGTAATGCATTAAAAAAAAATGCTCGTTATAATTTTCCTTAATGCAAGTACGAAGAAAAAAATGAATAACCTTAGCGATAATAGCCGGTGGTTTACTACAAGCTCAAGTCGAACGTGGAAAGGAGGAACCCCCAGCCTCGACCTACTGCAAGGTAAGAAACTTGTTGCCCGAGGTCGTTAAACAATCAGTTGTGCTAAACTGGAACGAATCTTCTATCCGGAACGGATGGAAGAAAGCAGTATTGCGGTAATGCAAATCTACTAACTACATTTTTTGATTTATAACAAACGGTAGCAGTATTGAGACTCTGAAAAAACAAAACTAGATGTAATAAAATGAGACTTTAAATGAAGAGACGCAACTGTAAGAATAATTAATTTTTAAGTAAGGTATTGGTTGAAATAAAAAAGTCAGTGTCACGAGCAGGATTCGAACCCACGACCTTCGGCTAAATACGCCGCTGCTCTACCGCTTGAGCTATCGTGACTTCGATCCAATCCACTGGTAGCGCAGCGGCGTATTTAGCCGAAGGTCGTGGGTTCGAATCCCGCTCGTGACACTGACTTTTTTTATCTTAACCAATACCTTAGATAAAGATTAATTAATTTAAAGAGGTTATTTGGTCAATCGGACCACGAAATCTAATGGATTTAATAAGCAAAATGAAGTATATCTTCACTAAAGCTCTCCGTGGCAATTTCATTTGTCGCCGAGAATCAAATAGATTGCACGACATTTGAAAAATGGCAAAAAGGAGGGAAAATTCAAAAGGTGGGGTTGAGATGGGAAGTTAGTGCCCGAGTTGATCGAAGTCACGATAGCTCAGTGGTAGAGTCATAGAGTGGCGGCGGTCGTGAGTTCGAATCCCGCTCGTGACACTGACTTTTTTATCTCAACCAATACCTTACTTAAAGATTAATTAATTGAGCAGAATGTATTTGGTCAATCGGGTCACGAATCGATTTTATAAGAATAATTATTTGGTAAAAAATTTCTCTTTAGAATTAGGTCAACTAGTAGCTTCAGCATCACATCGAATTTAAATTGATTACCAGTTTCATGGTTCTAAGAGGGGGATGTTTTAAATATTTCGTTTCGTGGTAATGAACAAGGAAGTGGAGTGGATTTCGAACATAATGAACGGATGGTTAGAGTGAAACTAGAGACAGAAGATGAAGTGAGCCTAATTATGCACGAGGAGGCCAATGGAAGAAAAGAATGAATAATCTCTGCGGAATGAAATGGTAGGAATATTGAAAAAGTTATGAACTTTGAAATATGTAAATTTTACGCGAGATCTGAATCCTAAGAACTTATGAAATTTTTTTCGAATAAATTCTAAAGAATGATGGTAGAAGGGATTCCCGATGATCGATTCTTCTGGCTCTAGTACAAGCATAACTAACGACTAGGAAAGAGTTATATAAGTAACTGTATGAAGTTTTAAACATAACCGTTTTTATGCTGAAGGACATTTGCAACGACTTAGAATTATCAAATTAACAACATAATTTTTTTCCAATTATAATACCGTATAAAGTCAATTTACAAATACAAATTTTAAAAAAGAACTCGTGTAAAGAGAAAGGATACTCAATTCTTGGGTTGGGTTATAAGATAAAGGTAAGTCCATCGTAAGTCGAGATAATTTGAATTTATCAAAGGTTTTGTAAATAACAAGGGAAATTTAAAAAGAAATATATTATAATTATTTGTAGTTTCATACAGACTTCACACAGCATGCTCATATCTGCCAAAGAAATCGTATAGTTTTAATTATTAAAAACAGAGATCACGTAAGCTCCATTTTTTTCCACTTAGATAAGCTAAAAATGCAATAAAAACACGATTAACATAAGAAGCCAGCAACAGTGGGCCGGGTCGGCAGAAAAGCTCCCATGGATCGATGGGTGGCCCTCGGATGATCTGAACCGTAGAAGAAAGATATCTTCACCCGATTAAGCCCAAGACCTTGCATATGACCAGCAAGTAGAGAAATGTTGCTCGATGTGTCCCACCTGATTCAAGGGTGCAACTCCTCGGCTCTTTATAGAGAGCATGTAGTATTGCCAACCGATAATCGTGGTTGTGCACGGCAACGAGTATCTGGGTCCCCTGTTCCGATTTTTAGAAAAAACAAAAAAATTGTATATAGTAATGATAGTGTTGTGCTCCCAGCGTGTGTTGCGAGTGAATATATTTTTTAGTGTGATGTGCGGTGTGTGGGTCGATGGGGAATTTTGAGAATTCCATCGACCCTCAATGGTTAGTTGTCTAACCCTAGTTAGTATAGTTGTATAGGGTGTTCGGCTACTCGTTTTACAAACTTTACCAGTAGATTTTACATTCGAAATGGAACTAAAAAGTCCTAATTAACTATGGTCCGAATCTCAACAGTTTCGAAGTTATTTCACTTTTTCCGATTTTTAAGATTTCACGACCTTGCTTCAAATAAACAATCATAACTCCAAAACTAAAAAGTTTTGAACAAATTCGTTGAGACCATTGAAAACTAGGTTAAATTTTCAATAACATGTTATCAATATTAAACTTGTAAACGTTAGTGAAATAAGCGTTTTAGAAGCGAGAACTGAAAAAAAAAAATTTCAAAGTTGAACAACATACTATGGTGATTCTAAACTACTATTTGAAAAACCTAGAGACGAGCAAATTTCAGAAAACGTATTCCATTTAATAGCCTTTTTAGTGGTGTATTTGCTTTTTTAATAACATTTTTCAAAGATGAAAAAATTGATGAAGGGAAAGGAAAAACCGTGGTTGAAGGATTGATAAGGTGGAATGATTAATAATTAATAATACATGTACAGTTATAGATACAAATAAATGAAGTAAAAAAATAATAATTTCATTCAAAATTTCCTTAAATATATATTTTTTTAAATTTTCCACCCTACCAATCCTTCAACCACGGCTTTTTTCTTTTCCTTCATTAATTTCTTCATTTTTGAAAAAGTAATTAAAAAACAATTGAAAATTTAAAAAAAAATATTTAAGAAAATTTTGAACGATTTTTTTTTTACTTCATTCATTTGTATCTATAACTGTACATGTATTATTAATTATTAATTTTTCCACCTTACCAATCCTTCAACCACGATTTTTTCTTTCACTTCATCAATTTTTTCACCTTTAAAAAAAGTTATTAAAAAAACAATTGCACCGCTAAAAAGGATATTAAATGGAGTATGTTTTCTGAAATTTGCTGGTCTCTAGGCTTGCAAATAATAGATTAGAATCACCATAGCAAGTTTTTAAACTTTGAAAAAAATTTGTTTTTGAAAGTTCTCGCTACTAAAACGCTTATTTCACTAACGTTGACAAGTTTAGTATTGATCACATTGGAAATTTAACGTACTTTTCTATGGTCTCAACGGATTCGTTCAAAACCTTTTAGTTTTGGAGTTATCATTGGTTATTTGAAGCAAGATGGTGAAATCTTAAAAAAATCAGAAAAAGTGAAATAACTCCGAAAATGTTGAGATTCGGGCCGTAGTTTATTAGGACCTTTTGGTTCCATTTTGAATGTAGAATCTACTGGCAAAGTTTGTAACACGAGTAGCCGAACATAATATAATATGTATAGAGGGTGATGGAGGAATATCGAAAACTACCCTATTTGAGTGAATGGAAAGTAAAGGAGTGAATGTATTAAAGAGAGAGAGGGTGAATGGGTTTGATAATTTAAAGTTAAACGAATGACTTGATAATTTACAAAAAATACATTTCATTCGTCAGGACACTAATCGAATGGAAAAATTGCCACCTTTCTATAAGAATCTTATGTTTAAAACATTAAATGTTAAATTGAAGAGGAAAAAAAAGTCATAAAAGTTGTTTATTT